TTTAGTACCACAACCCTGTATATGCATGATTTTTCTGAAGAATCTATTTTAAGACTGGTGAAATGGCTTCTGACTGTAGATACGGCACTGGATATTTTGCAACCGCGTGTCTAGAGCTGATGCTTCCTAACAAAACGTTCATAATAACATTCACGTGTGGATTTGTTATGAACAAACGTTCGCCAATAAAGCTAATGTTTATGAAATTAATTGCACGGCGTTCAATAATTTTACATTACCTTATTTTCAATGATATGGAAGTTTGTCATCATGATAAAGAATCATCCACCGAACTCGTGTACGCATATATATCGTCAAGAGTAGATAATAACAGAGTGACATGGTCAAGAGTGTTATTATCTACTCTTGATATCATGTACTGCGAATACACAGGTCCGTGGGCTGAGCCAATTCTTAGGGGGAGGGGCAAAATTTCATGACTCGGCTGTGTAATGATGAGCGACGGGCGCAGCTCTTGATCGACGGCCATGGTGTGGTAGGGGTGGTGGATCTGAGACAAGGCTTTCACGGATAAGTGACCAAAAAAATCACGTTAGGGTTATTTACGATTATTCAGGGATGAGAATTTTCCGCCGATCGGCGGAATTCGGCCGATTTGACAGCCGCGTGAATCGTGCAAATCCGGTGGGAAAAAAAGGAAAAAGAAAAAAAAAATTCCTGGGGGTGATGACTATTTCTGTTTCAAATGGCTATTCCAATCAATCCAATATAATATAATTAATATTAGTTTTGACTTCAGCACCAACCAATTCTGCCAGTTGTATGTTTAATTTGTTAAACTGCTAGACAGGTCAACATTAGTGTACTGCCTGTGAACTTGTAACATGGTTTGAGTAAATTTTTATATCGCATGACAATTTTATATTTTTATTATTCATGCTTGAAAGAAATGTAATACTTGTTTTCTACCAGTTTAATGTATATTGTTAGCCATTATGTACAGTTGCTAGATTAGCAACAAAAGGTCATGGGAAAGGCCTCAAATTTGTTGTTAAATAATATTATATTACAAGTATGGCTTTTGCAAATACCTAAATTGAGCTAGAATGTATCTCCACATGGCCTAAAGATGCCGTTACAGAGTCCATTTTTCTCAAAAAAATTCGGGGGTGATTTTTCCAGGGAGACCCGCCTTGGGGGAGCACCCCTCCCGTACCCTCCCCACTTGGCGGCTACGCCGCCTCGTACTTGTCCTTCGTTATCTTTTCCTCTTTTTTCCCTTCTTGCTGTTCTCAACTCTGTATTCATTAGCTGAGCATTTTTTTAAATTTCCTCCAACATCTAGGGGCAGCTGCCCCCTTCCCCCCACAAGCTACGGCCCTAGCTGGCATCGTGTCTCAATATATCTTTTCACATGTATACTGACACTTGTGCAGATACATTCCTGCATGATATTACAAGTGTTTATTGAACGTGTATGCGTAGATACGCCGTGCGTAAAGACGCGTAAATAATTCTGCAATCAAGGGTACCTTTACCTACTCATGTATGCTTGTCACCTGTTAACCATGTCACCTGTTATTGCGGCCCTCGTTAACATGTTCTGTTTATGTGCTCCCACTCGTATATGCATGTGCTTATATTCAGCTTAATGCTGGTATCCTTTGATTGTTTGCACAGCTATTTCGCCTAGAAGTTCAAACGATTTGGTTAATGAATTCATTATATGAGGACGTTTGATGAGAAGAGTCGCACCTTTATTTACAACAGTCATTCGGCTCACAGCTATATATAGACATCAATCTCAAACACTTATCAAACATAATTCGATCCGTGAGCGCTTGCGTAAACCAGATACGATCTTGCCGCGCGCGTTTACACGTATCAACGTACGCTCAGCAGACTTTGCCCCCTGGCCCTCAGAAAGCTATACAATTCGGGTAATGCCACAACGATATAGCGCCATCATAGCGGTGTACGCATTCCGAGTCTGATCGCAGCTATGAAGTCGCTGCTACTGCTGTTCGGGGTTGCTGTTGCTGTTGCCGTCGCCTCGGCCGGTAAGGTACTGGTGAAGCCGGTAGGACCGGGAGAGCGTGGCAACAGCCACCGGCTATACATGGACGCCATTGCCGACATACTGGCAGACGACGGACACGCCGTCAGCATGCTCGTGGCCGCCCAACACGCTGACGCCTCCGTAAGCAAGTACAAGTTCATCACCTACGGCGCCGACGGGGCGGCACCTAACACCGCCGAATCGCAGTTTTCCGTGCCGCAGACGAGCGGCGGCAACTGCGAGCTGTTACTTAGCAACCGCACGCTGCTCGACGCGCTCGCGGCAGACGACTTCGACGTGGTCGTCGTCGACGGGTTGAGCTTCTGCGATCTGCTGCTCGTGCGCGCTGTCCAGTCCCCGTTCGTCGTCGTCGGCACGGCGGGCTTTTCGATGGTCGTCGGCAACGATTCGCCGAACATGCTGTCGTTCGTGTCGGCCGGCGCGTTCACGGCGAACACGGACCGCATGTCGTTCGCGCAGCGTCTGAATAACGTCGTCGAGTACCTACTGGAGAATCTCATGCTGGCGGTTGTCGAAGGCGGCTTCATGAAGATCGGCAGGGATTTAGACGTAGTGCAGGTGTGTGGCGAGTGTGTAGTGTAGTACAGTGTAGTATTATAGTACAGGTGCATGTGTCGACTAGTGTAGTATAGTATAGTGTAGTGTAGTATAGTATAGCTCATAGGGTCTATATGATCCGCCCAGGGTTAACTGCCAGAACGTACTCCTGTAGCGGTCCGGTATGACCTGAAAGGTACCCGGGTCACGTGATTTTATATTGTAGGGTTAGGATTAGGGTTAAGGGTTGGGTTTAGAGTTGAGAAGTTTCAGGGTTAGGGAGTAGGCGTAGGCGACTACCTAGACTCGTTAGCTGGAGTACGGTGAAGGGTAGCGGTCCGGCAATATTAGATAATACCTTGAGGGTACGTTCGCCGGTAATACGGACCGACCGCAGGGTACGTTCCGCAGTACCCCGGCGACCATGAGACCTCTCAGCTATTAGTATGATTAACAGGCTGTGTGGCGACTATGTAGTGTAGTGTGTAGTGTTGTAGTGGTGTGGTGCATGGGGTACGTGCTAGTGTGGTGTGGTGTGGTGTGGGTGGGTGTGGTATAGACCAATTCTTAATTATATTCATGGACCTTCTGTCATCGCAGCGAAAACTGAGGCTAAGCTAGGCAAAAATTACGTAAGCATAGGCCGTAAAGCAGATGGCTGTCAGGCAGGCGACGCGCACAGAGGGAGTACACGCACGTACACGCGGGTATCACGGAGATACACGCACGTACACGCGGTACATGCAGATACACGGCACGTACACGCGGGTAATCATCGGACGTTACACTCGGTACACCAACGTACACGCACATTACACGCTCGTACACGCGATACGACGCGTCCGGCTACACGCAACGTACACCACGTACACGCGCGTACACGCCACGTACAACGCCGGCGTACACCCACGTACACGCGCGTACACGCACGTAAACACGGCGGGTTACGTTGTACGTGCGCTCAGGTATCTCCGTGTACGCCGCGTGCACGTGGCGTGTACGGTGCGTGTACCTGCGTTGTTTCGTGCGTGTTACCCGCGTGCACGGTCGTGTAACGTGCGTGTAACGCCGCGGTACGTCGCGTGTATCCGCGTGTACGTGCGTGTACGCCAGCGTGTATGTGCGTGATACCTGCGTGTACGTGCGTGTACCGGCGTGTACGTGCGTGTACCCCGTGTAACGTGCGTGTAACCCGCCGTGTCATCTGCGTGTACGTGCGTGTGACCGCGCGTGTAACGTGCGTGTTATCTCCCGTGGTACCGCGTGTACGTGCGTTATGCTGCGTGTGACGTCGTGTACCGCTCTGTGCGTGCCTGCCTTGAGTAACCATGTGTTTACAAAAGTGCCTAATTAGCCGTCAGTTTCGTGCGTGAACCCCACGCATGAATAATAAATTAGATGGTCCATAGGTGTGGTGTAGGTGGGGTGGTGTGGTGTGTGTGGTGATGGTGTGGTGTGGTGGTGGTGGATGGTGTGGTGTGGTGCGTATGGTGTGTATATGGTTGTGAATCCGTAGGTCGCTGCCGCAGATTGCGTTAGCGCCGTGACTATATCGAGCATGGTTTATGTATCGTTGCGTGCGCGTTGCGTGTCGTTGGTGTGTGTCGTGCCGTGTGGTGGCCTGCCGTGCGTGCGTCTATATCGTAAGGCTTGCAGTGCACACCGACACGAGGCAGGATAAGTCGCTCCGAGGCGCCGCGCGGGGGGGGGGGGTGCACATAGACCCGGACACATACATCAAACGTGCGCTAATAAATACAAATAGAACCTAAGAACTAACTAAAAAAAATGAACTGAAGCGGCAATTTCAGTGCTTTTATGCTATTGTTTTGCGTGGTGCATAGTCATGGCAGGCAGCGCTCACGGGCTTGAGCGCTGCGACCTTGGAGTGACATTGTGACACGTGAACCTACTTATTTTTTCTTAACGACTTCGAACGATTTTTCAGCGCGCTGACACTATCGCCAGAGCATTCAGGCGCCGGCCGCCTTGTGTTCAATTGCCACAAATTTGGCACTCGACTACTCCGAGACCACTTCTACCTAACGTGCAACTTAATAGGTGGGCTGACTGGCTCGCCCAGCCCGGGACCTAACGAGGTTAAAAATACACGATCCGCTATCCGTCAGGATACCAACGCCGAGTTATTACGCAGTACTTCTAAGAGATTGAATTTCTAGCCAGACGTAGAATTTCTCGGCCACGTTGAATTTCTAGCTACGAGCGCCTAAGGATAATTCAGCGATGAAGTGAATGCGTGGCGGAGTTTAAAACTAACCACGAATCGTGATCGCTTGCGGGGGCTTAAATTACGCGTAGCATACGCGCGCACAGAATTATTACAACGACGCTATGTGCTTATATGATAGCCCGTATATATATATATATATATATCCCGGAGTTAATCAATGACGAATTATTATTAAATGATAATAATATATACAAGAGTAATAAATACGCTATTATAACATGCCTATAGATAATAAATACCTATAATAGAATACCTATTATATTTGATATAGGTTATTTATTCAGCTCTTGATATATATGAGTAGGTATATATATATATATTATATAGTATACTAGCACTGGCGTAGCTAAGGGGGGCACAAGGGGCGATGGCCCCCCTGTATTGGCAAACAAACAAAACAAACAAATTTTTCCATTGGCTCTCACGCGTCTTCAACAGACTGGCCCCAATTCTCTGTTACTTCTGCATCTGCTGAAGCCGAACATTCCTAAAAATGAGCAATGTCAAGTCTAAACTTCGTTCTACAATATGACCCAGCTACGATTCGTGCTTCATTCTCTTTGTGCGTTGAAGCAGGAGTTAGTGAATGACATGTAATCGTCAAGCGAAATCCTCAAATCGACGAGAAGACTTGACTTTGATTTTGAGAATTTCTGCAGCAGACAGAAAACATGACAGACTACAAGAAAGGAGATAAATTCTATCTTTGCTCAGATTTGTGTTGTTGCGCAAGTTGGCTTTGATTGATTTATGTTCTGAACTCTTCATTGAAGCAGAATAAAGAGAAATGAGAATGCTTTGTGAATAACTTTGATATAGTTCGAACGTTATCGACGCCAAATTTCTGGCAAGAAACGCTCGTTTGATTTCAAAATGGCGAAGATTTCAATCACTATTTTAAAGTAACTGTTCTCCTATCAGGGAGGCAAAACAATTCTTTTTCATGGTAAATTTCCTTTTTTATTTAATAGAGCGGCATTTTGGCAGCTACCTTTGTTTTATTTGAAATCAAATTTCGAATATGATTTTAAGTTCTTCATCAGAGGAAAGCAAAAACATTTTTTAATAACGAACAAATGTAAATGTGATCTTTAACGCTATTGTATTCTAAAGCGATTAAACTTTTGTAATTTAAATAAATTGCATGTTTATTCAGTGCGAGTTCCAACACATCTACCTGTTTTCCCGTAGAGTCTTTATTTCGATTTCATATCTCATATGGCCTCTACTTTTTTCAAAAAATAATTTACTTTTAACTTTTTATTATGAGGAACTTGAACAGTTATGACGGATTAAATGCAACATTCCGCATGGTACTGCTAACAAACACAAATCAAACTAATTCACATATTCGTCAGTGACTTGAAATGAGAGGACATAGAGTAGACTAAGGGGGGGGGGCACAAAGGAGGCATTACCCCCTCTTGATGGAGAGTACAAAAATAAGGAGAGAAGGGCCCTTAAAGGATTGGGTCTATACCACTATAACCTATACCTACATAATGAAAAAGAATGCCATACACAAGTGG